CAAGCAGGGACATGTTTTTTGTGCATTAGGTTTTGTGATTTCACCATAACAAAATAGAGAGTCTCTCAGTCCCCGCAACGGATTCAGGCGCGCGTCACAACAGAACACTGTAACTTATCTGCACCACTGATCGCAGAGGCAACGAGCACTTTGGTCACTTGATTTCAAAAATAACACATTTCAGATCGCCTCTTATTTAACAAACGAACGAAATGAATGCTCTACTAGAGTTACCTGGAGATGTTTTATTTGTTTGTAATGGTAACGTTACATCCGTGCCGCGAGAAGTTTCAATGGGGACATAACACACCCGCAAATTATGCCTATGCTCGTGTCCGACTCCTCGCTCAGTCAGTCTGCCGTTTCCTCTTTCTCTGTTCCTCCGACAATGCTTTCCTAGCTTTCTGCATCTTATATGCCGGCTCAGCCATGACGATAGTGTGACAAACTCCATCTATCTATACCTTGTTCCTGTGTGTATGTGTGCAGTTGCCGTAAAGGAATATGTTATATCGCGAGAGCTGATATCACGCGATACTTCCTGACGCGGCCCGCCGCACCGAAGTTGCAAGTGAGATTTTTTCGCTCACAGGCACCAGGGGGGTCGAGACGCCCACCATTCAACCCGAAAGAAGTTATATAACCATTTCAATAACTCTGAAGCTGTTCAGTTAAGCTAAAAAAGCTGCATAGTGTCCCTTTAATGCCATGCATTTTATTTACACAATTGCAGAAGACTGTGAGTCCTTTAAAGGGATATTTCACACCAAAAAAAATAATTTTCATAATTTACTAATTTTCATGTCGTTCTAAACCTGTAGGACTTTCTGTGTTCTGTTGGGGTCCAAACAACATTGGACACCACTGACTTTCATTTTATGGACAAAAAAAGAGATGACAAATTTTTACATTTTCACTTTTGGGTAAAATATCCCTTGAATTTAAAATCAAATTGTTAGGCGTCTAAAGATTACCACCATTTCTTGTGAAGTTTCAGCCTAGCCAAACAAGTTCTGAAGTTTTTTGTTTCCACTTAAAGTTTCACCATACAGGCATACACACCTTCAGACTTTAAGCCAGTCACCTATTTAGATCAGTTTCACAAGACACAATAACATTTAGAAACACCAAGTCAGCTTGAGTCAATCACTGGATGCATCATTGATGTCTCTGCAATGAAAACTCAATGATAGTGGCTTAAAACCAATATAACAATATCTGTCTGGAACTTCCGCCATTAGCACTAAAGCATTGCTTGATTTTAGACTTTAAATATTCAACACAAGAACACTCCAAGGAGAAACTCTTAATTGCACCATATGTTTGATGTGTAAGGCAGAACATTTTTGCAACAAATAATTGTATAAGTCTATGTACTTTACCTCATTCCTTCCTACAACAGACACTAGAAGCTGTTAAGAAGGCCCAATCACAGGGCTCCCCCTGTCGGTGAACAAGTGCAGTTTCTCTCCAATAGATAAACATGATGATGTGTTTCCTCATTCTGTACTACTACATATAGTGAGCATTATTTAAAAACCTGAACACCCTCCAGACAACAGCAATAAAACGGCAATACTTTAATATTATCCAATAAATTAAATAAAACTAAATTCCTGAATGCCTCTTCCAATGTTTATGACTTCACCCTGTCAAAAAAAAAAACATTCCTAAAGGAGTGTTCAGGATTTCAATCAGAATTTTTATCATAATTTGGAACTAATCCTTAAATCCTAGGTAGATCAATCAATCAAATAAGATTCTTAAATTTGATCAGCACACATAGTATATTGAAATAATGATATGCTATTGGACAGTTAAAAGAATGTCACAAGAACATAGGACTCCTGAAATATTTTATATAAATAATAATAATATTAATTTTAATGTCGTAAAGTAGTATTTTATTCGGTTGCTAGTTCTATTAGAAATGTTTAGAATATGACGAAAATACACATAAGGATCCTATAATAGGATAGTGAAAATTATCACAGAAATTCTTAATTTATTCACTTGAAATGTATAACTAACGTTACGGACATAACTCCCAAAGAGCAAACCGGTGTCTAAAACCCTCTTATTTGTAAGCAACAGTACATGTATTTTCACAACACAACACTAATGTTGACAACTGCTTTAGCACCAAGTAGCCTTTAGCCACAGCTTCCTGCGTGAACGTTACAAACTACTGTTATTGCTAAAATATTCCCTAACAAAAGGGATAGGCTGATGGGTGTTTGGCTGGTGGACGATGGGATGTGCTTGTGGATGATGTACAAATAATATAACAATATGCACTGCCGCTGTATTTACAATTGCAACAGCAGCATCTGAAGCCGGATAGTGCCCTGGAACTAGCATAACAACAATCACCTCGCCGTGTACAAAGAGCAAAGCGGACCTGTATTCAGGTTTCCAGGCAACAGCAGCCGCACTGCAAAAAGGGAGGCCACCCCATTATTTTCCTTCACAAAGCTTCACGACCTCTCACTCGCACAAAAGCACCGAGTTTTCACACTGAAACGGACAGTCAGGCGGGCTCTTTAAAAAGACTCGTGACGAAACGTGCCCGGGTTAGCCGCTCAAAGCTTCAACCGGCTGCTCAATGTGCCACAAACAGTCTGTCAGCCAGTCGTTGAGTCAAACTGGTAAAAAACCGCATAATTACACAAATAATCTAAGTTACAATGTAGAATCGTTGCTCTGCTCTTACCTCAGTTTTCATTGAAGCCATGGCTCCTCACCCCGAGACCCCGCCCCCTTGGCATACGTCACCGGTTCATTTGGCGCTATGTGGAGAAAAAAAAAGATTAAAAAAAAAAAAGTACTAGTGAGGTTCAACTCATTTCTGGGAATCGGTTCTTTTGAACCGTTTCAAAGAACTAGTTCAAAGCCCCGTATTGTTTTACGACATGACGGAATTACGCCACATACATGCAAAAAAAAACATGCTTTAATTTAGTTTGGAGTCTGTTTATTTATGAGGTAATCCCAGTTTTCATCTTGAAAATATTTAATTCGGGTTTGCCTTACCATAAGGAATGGTATTTAATTAATCTATTAACTGAATTTTGGATGCGGAATATGGGGAAATTATGGGACTAATTTCAGGCTAATTTTAAAGGCGAAGTTCAACAGTAGGCTACATAAACAATTCAATTAGGTTTGGAAAATAGAAAAGCTGTAATACATTTTTTTTAACGCTGTATAGTGTTAATATTTGTAAATATGGCCAAGCTGATAACTTCCTAAACCCCACTGAAACCAACCAACAAAACTAGAGGTATTTAAATAAAATTAAAAAATATATATATTTTATCTTTTGATCATGTTTATTTATAAAGTTTTACCCTTTGTAAATATTTTAAACCAATAAAGCATCCTAGAGTGGCATATAACATGATTTAAATCAAAACGTATTATGTTTTTTAATTAGGGGTTGTTATAATTAATTTTATTTGCCCGAGTACAATTTGCTGATATGATTCATAAAACATTTAATCATTTAGAATCTAAAAATTGTATTCACATGAAATTATATACAAAGTTCATTAACATCACTTGGCTGAAAAAAAATGTGTTGATGAAACTCTCATATTTACAGTATGTTTCATTGCAAACTTCTATTTTAAAGTATATATTTGCCATCAGCCAAATCATCAGTTCACTTCAAATATCAGCTCAGTTATCCAATGGCAATATAGACTTGCACTCTGAGTCACCAGCGCATTCAAATGAATGATTCATTCCTGAATCGGACATTGCTAACCTTTGCTCATTATCTGTAAGGAAAGAATAGTGGGGTTTGATCCTCAAGTGTATTTATTTATTTATTTTACCATGCCAGCAGGCCAGCCAAGACCACGATACAATAGGCCTTTTACTTCAGCAAAGAAGTAATTTATCTGACAACCCATCAACATTCTCCATATACATTTTTTTCGTTACCACCTTCCTTTTCTATGGCCTTCAGAGTGTGTACTATTCATGCAGGCTAAACACCAATGTCCATGTCCTTGTGTGGCTCTGTGATAATGATGGATTGGGATCAGTTTCTATGGCAACAAGAAAGAGGCAGCAGTGCTGGATGTGTAGCCGGCCGCTTGATCTTTTACCCCATTTCCTTCTGTTGCCATCCAGAAAACTGTCCATGAGAATCAAATTGAAATCCAGGTAATCAATTCTGGCAATCCAGCTATTCACGGTTATTCATCTAGTGCATCTATTTAGGGCTACTGAACAACATAATGCAGAACAAATTGTTATATAACCATTACTGGTTGTCAATGAAAGCCTGTAGACTGAAGGACTCAGGAAGTTTTTTGCCGGGAAAATTAAAGGATGCGACGTTTACGCACGCTCCTGAGATCCTTTCTTCCGTTCAATGACACATGAAATGAATGGTTTTACAATGTTCAGGCTCATGCTGAAAGACCCATACTGTACAGTAATATCAATATGTCATGAAAAGAAAAGGGATTAATTCAAACTATAGTCTCACATAGCCATATCTGTAAAGTCTTTAGTTTTAAATATACTATTATAACTGTGTAATTTGAATCACCTCATCTGTTTTGATTATTCCGGTGAATTACATTGCAGAGCTGGTGCAAAAATATCCACATCGCTATGATCAGATGCTTTCTTAACTGCCGCTTTCTCAGTCATGCTGTCATTTTTTTTGTGTGTTTGTTTTGTTATTGAGAGCAAAATGCGCAGCACATAGGCCTAGGCTATTTACTTATGGCTATTCATCTAAACGTCACTCTCAGCAGCCTGTACGGTGTCAGGATGTTTGTTTACAGTATATTGGTGCAAAGGTATTTCCAACTTATTTTTACTTCTAAGCTAAGAACAAAAAACAAGTTCGCTGTGAGTATATCGGAATCACGTTCGGCCTCTTGTACGTTACGTGTTCACGAGTGCAAGCACGAGCAATAAGAAGCTGTCTGCAGTTCACTTAACGGCCACCAGTGTCGCTGATAACAAGGTTTTCTGAATTCTACAAATAGCCCCTTTAATCACTTGTTTAGAAGTAAATAAGCAAGATTAACTTTAAAATTGTAAATTTAAATAAGCAACATCTTGGGGTGTGTGTGGGGTGGGGATGAGAATTTAAGTGATTTCATTACTTTGCTGTACAAGCTCGATTCTGTCACAAATATTGAACATTGATCCACAATCATGCTACTTTATATCAAAACCTGCTGGAAGAAAGTACCATGCAATGATGAAATGAAACTTGATACATGCTGTTGAATCTTTGGTGAAAAGGAAAAGACAGAAAATAGTGTTCGTCCATGCTGCAAATTTAACATTTCAAGAAATGGATGACTTGCCAATTTTAATAATTTCTTTCACCTGCAGTGCTAAAATAACTAACAATCTACTTTCCCTTTCTCTTATGATTCTTTCTGATGCCAAAGAGGAAAAGAAACACAGTATCATCTCAAAGTACTTGTCTTCTTTACAATTACAATGGGACCAGGATGCATCAGATTCACATTTAAGGCAAAATGTGTTTGAAAATAGAGAACGGGTGTTCAAGTCAGGGTTTCTTCACTGGATTTTGATGATAAACAATAACAATGTTCTTTTTTATTAGAATGTTCTTAACATTTGTGCTGCTCACAGTGAAGAAACAATCTGAATTTAAGTTTAGCTGCACTGTTAGAAGTCACAGTGGCCTGCTGGGATACAATCAGCAAAGACATGGTCCCTTGATATAAATATGAACGGGTCATTCTAAAAAATAGGTGCCTTTTGCAGTCTGATTAGGTCATTTTTAAAATACATTTTTATAAGATCTTAAACATTCTATGTTATATAATGTTTAACTATTAATTAATTGCATTTATTAATTTCAAGCTACATATAATTTCACAATATTCACAATATCAGACTGTCAATTTACCCCAATTGACCAATTTGCCCTACTGACAAATATTACAAAATATAAGATAAAGTGATTAAAAAACTAGTGTCGACTTTTCCTTTGAAGAGATTGCATTCTGAAATATGCCGTATGATAATGTCATTATGGCATGTTAGGCCAGAAAATGGATCCACATGATGAAAGAAAAAGAAAAGTTAACATATTTTTTGTTCATTTGTTTAAAAATATAGCTACATAAAAAAATTTAAGTGGCACCAGCTATTCATTCTTTTTTTTTTTTTTTTTTTTTTTTTTTTACATATAAAGGACTGAAATGGCACCCTTTTTGTAGAATGACCTGAATGATTCTTCTCTGTCAGCATTGTAAATGGTAAATTTCAAACAAACACAAAGAGAAAAGATAAAGTAACAAGTAAGTGCCAAAAACATGTCTTGTAGTTTTGCATCATACAAAATCATTTAGAACATGATAAATGTGGTCCGTTCTGTAGTTCTGTTCTAAATCTGACTTTCTTTGCTCACTGAATAAAGTACTAAACGTACCACAATACTGAACTAAATATGGAAAATCATCATTTATATTTTGGAGACTGGGGAGGAATAAACATTCACGCACATATATATACACACGTACACATAAAAAAGTGCCTTTTTGTGCTTCCATTTTTTAAATTCTTCAACAGTTCAAGGGTCTAATCAGGTCATAATGAAAAAGTGTTTGCCATATTAAAGGACTGTAGACAACAATCCAAGTACAGCCTAAGGCCTCACCGAAAAACCATCATAAATCTCTATTTGCTGTGGGCTAGTATGACAAATATCAACGCATAAGACCAAACAAGAGTCACATATAAAGACATGCACAGTTCGCATCAGATTTCAAATGATTCATATCTGAAATTTTTGACATCTAACATATTAACAGCACTGATATTACACAAAGTCTGAAAGGAAAAAAAACAAACAAAAATAACACTTCAAATGACTGTTCTTTGAAATACTTTGAAATAATAATTCTAGGGTGAATTATGATTATTTTGCTTTGTTTTGTGTAATATAAGGTAACAAAAACACAAAGTCAGGAGTCCAAAGAGTCCTCCAAAAAAAATCTCTGTAAAACAAAAATGAACTAGTTCATAAATGATATGTAATATGTTGTTCTCTTAAGGGACAGTGGCTACCATTTTGGCCAAGTGATAATGACTTATGTGCCCAGGATGGTAACTACATTGGTATTCCAAAGCTGTATCCACACAGTGTCTGTTTGGTGATGAGTTGAATTTTGAAGTCAGATGAAAACCTCCAACATCAATCCCCATCAATAAATAAAACTTGTTCTTTCAAGAGTAACTTTCTCTGTGGCCAAACATCTTTTTCAAGAGCCATTCCTGCTGGCGCAAGCATGGAGCGCTTTATGATTCATATTGATCGTCACAAGGAGAGGATTGTTTATTCCTTCAACGAGACTTTCAGCCCGGCAGAATAATATTTCAGATTTTACTTGTTTTGTGATGAGCTCTACATAAGGCCAGCCTTGGTTGAATGAAAACTCATTCTCAGTGTAACTTTCACTTCAAAATGTTATAGATGCTGGTATTCATTTCAGCAGAACTTGGAGTGCGTCTCATATAGGGGTTGGTCGAGAGTCCTACATCTTCTTAGGCACTGAAACGTTCTCCCCACACAGTTTCAGGGTTGTTTTCTCCAACATTGAATTTATGTTCTGAGGGGATTAACTAAAAATGTATGAGTTTTAAAGAGATTTGGTTCATGGAGGAGAAGGGCAGCAATTCCTGTGCCGTCCAGCAAGGGGCACCAGAAGAAGCGAGGCCTCCGAATGGTCTACCTCATGCTGCTGTTGAAGCTTGAGTTGTTGCTACTGCAGCTTTCCTCATATGTGGGAGGCGGCTCTGAAAATTCGAGTAAAAATAAATAAATAAATATTTCAGCAATTAATTTGGTTACATAATCAGTTACAGTCACACTGGGACAGGGTCATGTCTAGTTCATAGAAATTCTAGATCTTTAAATGAGAGACTTATATTTGCTGCTACCAAGCAGTGTTGGGTGTAATCCATTACTAAGTCATTAACACTTTAAAAACAAGGGACATTTTCCCTTGAAAAAGTAAAGAAAGAAAGGGATTACTCTAAATTTTTCTAATTTAATTACAGTTACCTCTGGTGTAATTGCATCAAATACTGTATAGACTATAGAACAGTTCTTTATAAAACAATGGTGGATTTAATATCAGAATTTAACGTCTGATGTTAAAATGTATGTTTTTAATGCAACCTCCCTTTAAAAACTTTGGTCAATTCAAAAATAATTTATGCAATTTTAAATTATTCATTTGAAAGAATTAAAAGAGCAGTTTCACGTCTATCCTTGTATCGTTCAACTGGTCGAGGTTGATATGGGATTTAGAAAGTAATTAGTAATAAGCAATGCAATCATTTTTAGAGAGAGTAATTAGTACAGTAATCTATTTACACTGTTGAAGATGTAATTTTTTTAGAATACTTTACCCAACACTGTTACGAGGCTAGTCGATCAGTTCTGCCACTATACTTTGGGCCAGTGTAGACTAGCTTAAATAATTTCACTTGAGCTTGCTCTACTACTTGCTGTAAACAAGTGACAGCTTGTCGCACACTCTTACATATTTGAGGGTTGCAACATTAACCTTAGTTGAAATGTAACCCCATATATAAACTAAATATTAACAGAAGCCACCAACCAGAAGTAACATTTGGAATAAAATAGCAGAGCGTTTGAATTACAACAACTAGCTCATGTTTTAGATTTACTTTTACTGTACACAAAACTGATCCAAAGTTTGTGCGTCTCGCCGTTACTTGGATGCAAGTGTTTCAATGCAAAAATAAATATCACAAATTTTCCAGTGTTGTATTAATCTTAGATACAGTTCCTAGATATGTATTATTTACATATTTGAATGTTGTTCTTGTTGTACTTGTTTATTGCCATATCAGCTTCAAAGGCTATTAATGTAAACAATGCAATAAATGCAAACACTTAATAAAACTAAACTTACAGAAAAAACAACACTAAACAATTTTGAATATAGGCCTACATAACTCTATAAAATATATTTCTATATACGTTTAGACAGTTCATTAATTCATTTATATATTAATATAATATATTTCATGATCACTTACACATCAAATTTTCATGGAAATATATATTTTGTGAGCGTGACGTTTAGATGAATAGCCATAAGTAAATAGCCTGGAAATGAGATGAATTTAGATGAATAAATAAGTAAATAAGTAAATAGCCTAGGCCTATGTGCTGCGCGCTTTGCTCTGTTACACAAGTACAAATTACTTTTGTATTACCGTATTATTTTTTTATGTCTACATAGTTTATTTAATTATTATTTACGTTTTAGTTTGAGTTGTTTTAGTACAAAGTAAAATCAATGAAATTTTTAAATGTGGTCTTTGCAACTAGCCGAAGTGAATTAGTTTTTTTATTAAAATTTATTTCAGTTAAAATGTATTTTATTTCAAGTGACAAAGTTTTTTTTATGGTTTTAGTTAACTATAATAACCCGGGTAAAAATAAGTTTGAAACATCAACTGACATACTCTGCTTTTCAATGCTACTTCTGTTTCCAAATCTGTTTCCATGCTGCTTATTAGATCAATGAAAAGCAATGTTTTATGCGACTACACATTATGAAGGCCTAGTGGCCTACATTACTAGCTACACTAAGCTTTGATTGAGTATAGAGTTTGTAACAAATACTAGTCATTTACATAAGATAAACATTGACCAGTCAACTAGTAAAAAAAAAAAGGGATTCCTGTGAGACTTTTTACAGAACGAGGGTAATGACCTTCTCAAGAATCACTCACCATGTGGGTATTCCCAGGTGCTGTATTCAGGGGGCAGGATGAGGGGACAGGAAGTGGGCACTGGCGTTGAATTACCATCTGTAAAGAAAGGTATGGTGGCCCCTGTGGACAAACAGAACACAGGCGCAGAGCCGTCTGAGGATTGGACGTGCTGCTGGCTCTGTGGCGGGACCGGACCAGACGCGTGACCGAACGCACCGGGGGACACGGAGAGAGGCATGCCGGACGGGTCCTGCTGAGAATGACTCTTGGTGGGGATCTCCTCGCTGTCTACTCCTCCAGCACCCAGCTCACCCTCCAGGTTGTCCTCTACAGGAGGTGCGCTGGGGACTACGGATGCAGGGCTGAGGCTCGACATGGCAGGCATCGGAGCGCCGTGAGCAATGGGGCGCGGAATGGAGGGAGTCAAGTTGACAGCAATGTTCCCAATGTATATGGGTAACGTGACCACAGCCTCAGGAGATTTTAAGGAAACCTGCGAGGAGAAAATTTCTCAGACGCACTTCATGATATTAAGCTATGATGAATCTAAAATTGAAAGACTACAGCAGTGCAATCTAAAAATATACTTGAGCAATAGTGAAATGAAAATCACACGTTCATGAGAGAAAAAAATCAATGTCGGGTTTGTGCACAAATCCTTATTTTGAGTCGTATCTTTATAATGAATCATCTGTTACAATGACAACATTTATTTGAATGATTTCTTCATGAATCAGACTGATTTGGTTTTTCGAAAATCATCTCAGTGAGTCGAATCTTTTCAATGAACTGGTTGATTCAGGCCATAAAACTACTCTGAATAACTGATTCATAAATCAGACTGATTCAGTTCTTGAACTCAACTCACTGAGTCAGAACTTTTTAAAGACCCACTCCGATGAAAATAATGTTTTTCTAGGTGTTAACATGTTCTTGTGGCATTTTTCTGATGTTAGAGGACATATCTTGAGAAAAATAAGCTCAAAGTTGTATTTCTGAGTATTTCTACATTCAAATGGCTGTGAATCAGTAGCAGACGCTAAAATGCCGGCTAAAATAGACTGGAGTTGTGACGTAGGAACTCCACTGGGCGTCTCCACACGCGACGTCTTGGAGTGAAATAATGATCGGTGATAACTTTGATTAACTTCGGATAATAATAATTAACGTGTATATAATACTGTTGCCCCACCGGTATTGGGGGTGTAAGCTAGCGGGAGAGACAGAGCTCTCAGCAACGGGCAGGGGGAGGGTCGTCTCCGTGCCAACGGCTCCGCCCACAACGCAGAGGCGAATTGCTAATGAGCTACTGCCGCTCTGCTGAAGCGAAGTCCCAGAAAACGGCACAGGTTTTGTGATTTTTGCATCATAATCATAATTTAAAGACCACTGGGAATGTTTAAAAATAGCTCAAAATATGATCGGAGTGGGACTTTAATTAATCAGTTGATCTGGTTCATAAAACTACTTTAAATGATTCTTTCATGAATAAGACTGATTCTCGAAATGAGCTTGCTGAGTCAAAATATTTTGATCCAATGACTAAATTTATCTGAATGATTAGTTCATGAATCAGACTAATTTAATTTTCGAAATAAACCCACTAAGCCAGAACTTTTCAATGAATCAGTTAATCCGATTCACTAAACTGCTCTGAATGATTCATTCGTGAATCAAACAGTTCAACAAAAAGAAGAAAATTTGGAGTCACATGAAGGTGAGCAAATTATGAAGATGTAGAGCTAAGGTTAAGATTTCCTGTCCCATACCTGGATAAAATACTCAATGTCAATGAGGCTGCAGCCAGTGAGGCCTGATTGAGGAAGAGGAGGGACGATGATCTGTTCTCTCCACTCTGCATGTTTGCCAGCCTTCACCCCGGCACCCTCGACCTCTGCTATGGGCCGCAGATCAAACACTGGCCGCTTTGTCTTATAGGACACTCTCTGCACAGACATACACAGTTATAATGAGTGACATTATCTGACAATTTTACATTATATGTATATTAAATCATCAACCACAATTCTGGGAAAATGTAGTATTTTTTTTATTATTATAATTTTTCTCACCTGAATAAGGCTGGCCATCACATAGCCGGTGTCTTTACCAGACTTGTTATGGATTTCAGTAGATAATTTAATAATCTGTCCAGGAGTGTATCCCCTCAGATCACTGCAAGCCTTCAGCATGAGCGTGCCTGTTTTTACCAGGAGGTAGGTAAACTTTTTTGTTGTCACAGCACAGCTGGGTTGCTGGGAAAACAAGGGCAGATAGGAATTGGTAAGCAAGATAATAAAAGAAATAGGATAATGTGATATTATATTGTAAAATATATATTATTTTCATAATACCTTATCTTATTGGGGGCATAGCTAATCAATAAATGTTGGTGAAGTCTCACCTCTATGTCTGGCAACTCATTGAGGTTGAGCACATTGAGAAGGTAGAAGAGTCGCTGGGTCTTGTAGTCCTTTGAGAAACGTGGAGTGTCAATAAAAGCCCTAATTTTGTATAAAATCTTCCCAAAGGGGCCTTCGAACGAGGTTGGAACGGATGCTACAATGGACATAAACAAAGTTTACTTAATTATACATTTAAGTACTGAGCAACTTTAATTAACAACATGCGGTTAGATTTAGGATTGGGTTAGCAGCATGTAATTATTTTCTGTTATTTCTTTGTAACGTGCAACAAGGACACTGTAAATGTGTAATTAAGTGTTACCGAATTTATTTTTGGGCTTGTCAAAAGCTTTCCTATTCAAGCCACCTAATAAAATAATCATGTCTTTGACAAAAAGACCAGAATGCTGAATAATGACAGAATGATGTTAGAGCTCACAAATCAATAAAATGAATCAATACAATTCTAAGTGCTGTCGTTCTAAAGCTGTTTTAGAAGCAAAACATAAGCTGAAGGCTCAGATGCTCTGACAGATGAATAAATAATAGCAAACCACACATAAATTCAACCAAAACAACCCACTGATATTAAATAAAGTTATTTCTATTTCTCTATTTTTGTATTTCCATATTTTATGCCAAATGCATTCATGATTAATGGGCTGGAAAGCCCCTGTTTTGATCAGATACTTGTTCATACAATCTGTCTGCAGAGGGCGCAGCTGCAGACTCAATGAGTAGCCAGGAATGTTGCTTTCATGCCTCCACTTAATAGCTCATTATGGGGCATGTGTTTGTGCAGGAAGGGGCAGGGCCATAACAGGAAGAATTTTTGCAGCGAAGGTTAAAATTAAACCCTTCTTCGATCCTTTCATCCCGCCTCACAGGCACTTTAACTTTAACACACCTGAGTGTTCTCCGTATATTGCACACATCATCCTCATTTAATGGCAAACATGAAGTTTCTCTGAATGAAAATGCTCTTTAAAATGAAAATAAAACAATTAAAGAGAATTACCTGGAATGAGAAACTGAAAAGGAAAGCTGTGCTCACCAGCTGACAGAATACCTGTAATGGCAGAGAAAAATGTATATGTTAATTATAATATAGTTTTGTGACATTTCTAACTATTAATATCAAGCATTACTGTTTGATAATGATATCAGTGAAAGTGTTACTGAAAGTGTACATATCTAATTTAGAATAATATCAACTAAAAATCATACAAGCACAGCAGATGTCATTAAGTACTTCACTATCATGAGAAAACGGTGTAGTATTATGGAGGTGGAGATCTTGTAAGTCAGAATGACTCAAATAGGACAGCATATCTGGGTAGATAAGCATACCGACAGTTGTAACAATGCCTTCTTCTGTGCCTTCTACCTGGGGATTTCCACAACCTCAGAGATTATTCACAGAACTGAAAGGATTTGCATCCACAGCGTATATATATATATATATATTCTGTAACTTGAATAAAGCACTGCAAATGTACACACCTCCACCTCTTTTTCTTTTTTGCGTGTGAATGCGCATGAGCTACAGCGTGCTCCGCCTGTGCTTGTTTATCTAATCGTTCATATTTGGCAGTAAAATCACATTGCAAGGGTGTTGTCTGCTTTGAAAAAATGTACTTGATTTAATGTGTGAGGAGAAAACGAGTTAAGTTAACACCAGCCATCATTACTGTATAAATCTGTTCTTGTTTATAAGTCGCAGTCCCCGACAGGAAAAGACCTCTTAGAGAAAATGATGGGAAATTCACTGACACGAACAGCTCGGAGAGCAGACGTAAAGTATCAACTGTCTGTTTGAGCTATACTTGCAGGGTTTGTAAGGAAGTAAGTCCTCAAAAAAGAGGAATTATTTCAGGACCTAGGGTTGACTAAGGCAACACTAGCCTAGCTAACAGCTTATATACATCATTTACTGTACTAAAAAATGACATTTAGCAGACACTTTAACTAAAGTTGCTTGCAGTGTTTTCAAATATATGAATTTATACAAATTAAGAACAAAACACACATAGCCATGGCAAACTCCATGTCTATTTATGCTTTGACCTCAATAATTTCAAATCAGTTCATACAACAGTTTTAATGCGTTGTCAGGTTTATGTTTGACACAGTTATCAGTTTACTGTTGTGAATGTAAAACAGGTACTGCATTGATAAACACAATGCCATCTATTCCTAGAAACGAAACCGGTTCAGGCTACAGAATATCACATGATCAATATCTGACATTCCATTTAAATTCCATTTAAATTAATTTATGGGTAATGATTATGACACATACATTTTAATTGTCCCAAATAAGCCAAGAATGTTCGTGACAAGTGGAATTTTTGGGTGCACTATCGCTTTAATTTTGTCAGAACCATACCGTGCCGTGCCAATGAGTCAGTTCTCTTGTGTCTTTGCTGAAATGCTATGAAACACATCCAACTATATCATTTACAGCATTAAAACACCCAATTTTCAAATCTCAGACAAGTAAAGGCATCTCAATCCACCTCCACCGCCCTGACCATCAGAGTTTCTGTTACTGAGCAATGAAGACAGGAATTCGAACCCTTAATGGGCAGACAGCATTAGTCCCTGGCAGCCAGCATAAGAGACATTCAGCATCTCTTTTATCTCTGTTGGCCTGTGGGGTAAGATGAGCACTGTTACCCAGCACATCTGTCCCGCTGCTGATTCAGACAGCCAGGCAGCTAAAAGGTCTCCTGGAAAGGCTCGTAGGACAAGCTTGGGCATGTGAACTAACAAGCACTCAGACAGGAAAAGTCCTGCCGGGACACATACACCAAGAGCTCACACCTCACCTCGCGGCAGAACATAATGACTCTGTGTGACCTGAACACAGGGGTGAGAGACAGAGAGATACTGTAGAAAGAAGTGGAGAGAATAACAGTCGGGTTCAAGAAGTTCTTCATGAAGTTTTTTTTTTTTACAATAATTTATAAAGAGTTAAAGACATACCTACTCTGAGCTATAACAAGGTTGTAAATCAATGGTATATGCTATATGGTATATTTATAATATATATAATAATGGTATATTTATTGTTTTATTAAATTTATTGTTTAAGAATTTTTGGAAATTATTCTGTAAAAACTTTACAGGAACCTAATTTTTAGTGGTGCTTGCCTATGGCGAAGCAACACTATTGTTATCTCACATACTTATTATTAGTGGTGCTTGCCTATGGCGAAGCAACACTATTGTTATCTCACATACTTATTATTCTTATTATTATTATTCTTCTGGCCACTTTTTGACGCGCTACTCCTCCCGCAGTTTTTGTCACAGACCCATGAATGAGGTGTCAAAACGTGCGGCCTGTTCGGGAATGGTGTGCTATGACTTTTCTAAGAGATCGGGGGTACGATGGTCGCCCCAGGGGCGAAAAACGGCCCAAAAAAATCCCATAGACTTAACATTGCGAAAAACTTTGACGAGTCGTAGCTCGGAACGAGGATGTCGCAGAAATGTGTAATTTACCACATTTGAAGAGGCTGACAGGCTCTGTAAGAACATACCACACAATGGGGTAAAAGTTGCACCCCTGGGGTGCAGGAGCTGCCCAAAGTTTCCCCATTGACTTACTATGGTGTAGGACGGCCCATGAAATGGGCCGTCCTACACCATAGAAACCGCTTTTATATTGAACATAACTCTGGATCACAGTGTCATAGAGACAAGGGGGCGGGCTCATTTTACTCAGACAACCAATCAGTCTCTCAGGATCATTGTGAAGCTATCAAGCCACGCCCTAGCAACCATTTAGAGCACCTTAGCAACAACTCCCATAGACTTCCATTGAAAGAGATCGAAGGGATATCTCTGGACTGAATTGTCATAGAAATATGAGGGGGGTCTCGTTTGACTCGGGCCAGCAAACAGCCAATCATGAATCACCTCAACACTTGCTAGCCACGCCCTAGCAACCATTGTCGAGCACCTTAGCAACCAAAATCCAAAGAGGAATATCGTCCATTCTGAATGTCACAGAGGCATGGGAGTTGGTTTATATCTTTCATAGTGACAAGCAGCCTTTGGAGTTTCATGATTGGCAGCTGCCAAGCCACTCCCTAGCAACCAAACAGAGTACCCTAGCAACCATTTTGCAAAACCAATATCTCTGCATCAGAACATCGTATAGAGATGGGGGTTGGTTTATACATTCACATTGACTTTGGAGCTTCATGATTGGCAGCTGCCAAGCCACTCCCTAGCAACCAAACAGAGTACCCTAGCAACCGTTTTGCAAGACCAATATCTCTGCATCAGAACATCGTATAGAGATGGGGGTTGGCTCTTTTGACTCATGCTAGCAAACAGGACTTGCTACATGCTACACATGCTAGCAGTGAATAGCTAATAATGCTAGCAACATGCTAATCATGCTAGCATGATGCTAGAAACATGCTAATCATGCTAGCAACTAGCTACAAACATGTTAGCAACAGGCTAATCATGCTAGCATCATGCTAGCAACATGCTAATCATGCTAGTAACATGCTAGCAACATGCTAATCATGCTAGCAATATGCTAGAAACATGCTAATCATGCTAGCATCATGCTAGCAACATGCTAATTATGCTAGCAACATGCTAATCATGCTAGCATCATGCTAGAATCACGCTAGCAACATGCTAATCATGCTAGCAACATGCTAGCAATATGCTAGCAACATGCTAATCATGCTAGCATCATTCTAGCAACATGCTAATCATGCTAGCATCATGCTAGCAACATGCTAGCAACATGCTAAACATGCTAGCAACATGCTAGCAACATGCTAAACATGCTAGCAATATGCTAATCATGCTAGCATGATGCTAGCAATATGCTAATCATGCTAGCAACATGCTAGCAACATGCTAATCATGCTAGCATCATGCTAGCAATATGCCAATCATGCTAGCATCATGCTAGCAACATGCTAATCATGCTAGCATCATGCTAGCATCATGCTAACAACATGCTAATCATGCTAGCAACATGCTAGCAACATGCTAATCATGCTAGCATCATGCTAGCAACATGCTAATCATGCTAACATCATGCTAGCAACATGCTAGCAACATGCTAAACATGCTAGCAATATGCTAGCAACATGCTAATCATGCTAGCATCATGCTAGCAACATGTTAATCATGCTAGCATCATGCTAGCAACATGCTAGCAACATGCTAAACATGCTAGCATCATGCTAGCAAGATGCTAGCAACATGCTAGCAACATGCTAAACATGCTAGCATCATGCTAGCAACATGCTAAACATGCTAGCATGATGCTAGCAATATGCTAATCATGCTAGCATGATGCTAGCAATATGCTAAACATGCTAGCATGATGCTAGCAATATGCTAATCATGCTAGCATGATGCTAGCAATATGTTAATCATGCTAGCATGATGCAAATAATGCTAGCATCTAACTAAAACATGTTTGCAACATTCTTATTTTTGCTAGCATCATGCTAGCAACATGCTAGCATAATGGGAGAATCTAACTAAAACATGCTAGTAACATGCTTATAATGCTAGCATGATGCTAGCAACATGCTAATCATGCTAGCATGATGCTAGCAACATGCTAATCATGCTAATCACGCTAGCATCTTGGTAAAAACTAGCTAACCGCACGCTAGCAACCGAGCGGCGAGTTTTGCCACTGCAAGCACCACTTCACATTTTCTTCTGGAAATGTACATTCTAGTTCTTATTCTTATTCTTCTGGCCACTTTTTGACGCGCTACTCCTCCCGCAGTTTTTGTCACAGACCCATGAATGAGGTGTCAAAACGTGCGGCCTGTTCGGGAATGGTGTGCTATGACTTTTATAAGCGATCGGGGGTACGATGGTCGCCCCAGGGGCGGAAAAGCGGCCGAAAAATCCCATAGACTTAACATTGCGACAAACTTTGACGATTCATAGCTCCGAGCGAGGATTTCGCAGAAACCTGCAATTTACCACATTTGAAGAGGCTGACAGGCTCTGTAAGAATATACCTCACAATGGGATAAAAGTTGCACCCCTGGGGGGCAGGAGCTG